ACATCTAATTAAATATAATTAAAAAATATATAATTAATATATATAATTGAAAAGTATATAATAAAGACATAAATATAGAAATACTTAAAGTACAATTAACCCCCGTGAGTATTTGGCTTATGTTAACCATTACAGGTGTATATATGAAACAAAGCATCGTAACAGGAAATGTTACATATATAAAGTTGATAGAAGTCCGGCTTACCTGAGAAAATCCCCTTTATGTACCGAGTGCTGCCTTCCGCCTGCCCATCACTTCCATCAACTTGCTGGATTCCCAGTGTGCTTTGCGTCTCTTTCACTGCTGCTTGATGTGATGCAATCTCCATTTCTCAAAACTACATATCCCAGCACAGACATCCCAACTCTCCCGGACGTTCCGGGAGTCTTCTACTATTAGATAGCGGCTCTATCTAGCAGAGTAAACCTTTCCCTGCTGTTTTTTTTTTTTACATCAGGGCCGCCGGCCGCCGTCAGTCAGAGAAAATAAAAAATAAAAAAACAGCATAGGAATGAATATCTAGGTTTCTATTGACAATAGCCAATAGCAGACTAGCTATTGCACCCACCCCCTGCTGCTGTCAAGGAGTCAGATCATTTGTTTTAGTATAACTATTAATATATGAGGTATAAAGATGATTTGTTTTATGCTATATAGATCTGTATATTTTTTAATCTTTATTCCAGTGTTTCTTAATCACTTTCAGTCACGGCACCCTTTATCTATAATCTATCCTTAATCTATATTCTAGAATTTTAAAAAAGTAAAGGTAAATATTTAAAAAAGTGGTGTTTGGTCCCTCCTTTCACATCGGAGTCCCCCCTCTCATCAGAGTCCCCCCTTCCATGGGCATCCCAAGGCTTGGTGTCACCCCACCATGTCGTCATTGTGTATGCGCGGCCATCTGATTGACGTCTGCCGGCGGCCATCTTGGTGATGGATGCCAGCAGAGAGAGGAGGGGACGTTCACCCGGCAGGATGATGTATGTCGCCGGGTCCCCTCCTCTCTCCTGACACTGTCGGGCTCTCAGTCCATGATCGAGTGCCCGACTTTTTAGAGGGGGTGACACCAAAATGAATCTCAGTCATTTTGGTGTCACCCCTGCAATGGTGAAACCCAGGTGCGGGCTGCACCCCCCCCCGCACACCCTTTGTGACACCACTGCCCCCTTCTCACACAAGAACCCCCCTTTAAATCAGAAGCCCCTTCACATCAGAGTGCTGTAATATACCTGCTTGTGATCCTGGAATGCACATGCTAGTGATTCCGAAACGTACTGGCTGGTGAGTCCTGAACATTCCTGAAGGTGATGCTGGAATACATCTTCCTTTGATCCTGGAAAACACCTGCTGGTGATGATGTCACATGCCTACTTGTGACCCTGGAGGTTCTTGGGGGCCACACAGTCTGGGGATGGGTTATATTCTGAGGGATGTGTCCTTGTTCAAAGTTAGCACTTGGGCCCTGACCTATATACTTACATCGCCGGGTGGGTGGATGCTGTATGAACATGTTTACTATTGTATGAAAAGTCTTTTCATATTTTATTGTTTTATAAAACCGTTATGTATTATTATATTTTATTGCATTTATTAATAAATCTATATTATTTTTCTTTTTTAGGGTGAAAGAGGTATAGACGGGTTCCCTGGGAAGCCAGGCTCTGAAGGTAAAGAGGTAAGCAATATGTAATATTAGACCAGCTGCATTCAAATCCAATAGTTCAGTTTCAGCCGGGGACTGGTGGATTGAATTGTCCATCGGCTTTTCTGGGGCTATGGCCGCCTTTCCTAACCTTTTTTCTACACCTGTGGAACCCTTGTAATAAGTTTTTTAGGTTTCGGGGGAACACCCCAGCTAAAATCAATTAATTGGGTTCAGTGGGATAAACGTAGCCAAAACTGGCCATACACTCAGGGCCGTCCTGATAATGAGGCAGCCTTAGGTGGTTCAATAGTGTGTAAAATGTGCGCTTTTGGTTTTTCCTTTCAATATAATGTGTCAGCAGCAGTGAAAACAAGTGAATCCTAAAGTCACTCTCTAAAATGTCTTTGTATTGAGCCTTAGGTGGTTGCCTCAAGTGGCATCGTGTTGGGTCCCATGGGGGGGGG